TCCACTGTTGTCTGGCCATCGCCGCCATGGGGACGTGGCTCCAATTCACGACCCAGGAGCTCTGCAGGCTCTGCCCGTCCTTGGGGAGCTTGGGCCAAAGGGGACAGGGACAGACCCAGTTCCCAGGCCTGTTTTGGGTGGGGATGGCTCCTTCCCAACCATGAGGGAGAAACGACTCCCAGCAGCAGCTCTGGGTGAGGGGACCCCCCTGGGGAGGGTGGCAGTGCCGCGGCTCCCTCGTGCCAGGGTCTGCAGCGCTGGCCATCTGCAGTGGTCTCACACCTGCGCCCACTGTGTGCTTGGCACTGGGTGGGCACGCTCGCTCCAGAACCCCCCACCTGCGAGCTCCTGCTGCGCTCATGCAGACCGAGGCTGGCATGGAGCAGGGCAGAGCAGCCAGCCAGAGCGGGATCGCGTGGGCTGGGCAGGCACGGGCAGGGTTTGCAGGCAGGAGCAGGGAAGGTAGGTCTGGCCACGATGGGGACAGGGGGCCTGGGAAGCATTGGGGGGACCTGACACCGCAGTCTCATGCTGGATTTGGCCCTCAGCTACAGGCAGGGTGAGGGCAGAGGAGGTGATGCTGAGCTGCTTTTGCCTCCTCTCCAGAAGATGCTGCAGCCAGGGCTCAGCTCTGCAGCACTCCTGCGATGCTGCAGGAACTGGTCAGCCGGGAGAGGAAGGGGCCAGAGCCCCCGGGTCTGGATGCTGACCTTCGCCCTCCCCAGCACCCGCAGCTCTGTTCCCTTCAAGCACCCAGCCCAGGCTCTGCAGCAAAAATGAGCCCTGCAGCACATTCGGAGGGGTCCCAGCCTCCTTCCCCACCTCCCTATTGCTCCTGGTTGGCAGCACCCCTGGGTGGACCCGTCGGTCCCTCCATCCCTGGTCAATGCAGCCCAGCATTAACATAAAATCGATGCCCCCTCCCCTGCCCAGCCTTTGGTCACCCCAAGGCAAAACCCTTTAACCCCGTCTCTCCGGCCTCGGGGCACCCATGGAGGAGAGGGGGAAAGGAAAGAAGCACGGAGGCCAGGACAGGGGTCCCTCCCTGCAGCCCCTTTGTGCAGGTCCCTGCAACCTTGGGCCCCACTCTCTGTCCCCAAGAGCTTTCACACTCATGACACCAAAGGGGAAAATTAGGGACAGACCACGGTGACGTGACCACGATCCTGCAGGGAGAGACCACTGCAGCACAACTGGGTTTAAAAGCATGTGGCCAAATCCACACGAGTCCCTGGGGCATGGCGTGGCCAGCACAAACCCTCTGGCTGGGCCCTGACCCACTCCTGCTACTGGCACCGCTGAGGACGAGAGTCCTTGGCTGGGGACATGGGAGGGTGGCATCATTTCCCATCAGGAGGTCAGGATCTGGCCCAGGCTGTGGGGAGGCAAAAGCGGAGCATTAGGAGGGCAGCAGCAGGGACCCCACACCACCAGCCTGCCCCTTCATGCCAGGGCAGGCCCCAGATTTACATTTTTATTCCTTTTTAAGTGAATTTTATGCTGGAGGGAATTGCCATGTTGGCAGCCCAGCAGAGCAAGGGCCTGATACTGCTCACTGCTGCCCTAGAGTAACCCTGCTGGGCAGCCGGACCGTGGTGGGATCAGCCCCTCCGAATGCCCAACCAGGCAGGAACGGGCAGGAGCCAGGCAGGGACAGGGATTGAGTCGGGGCCAGGGGACTGGCACAGCCAGGGTCCAGCACACCAGGGTTTGTCCGGCAGCATCCAGCAGTCCATCGCACCCTGGATGGAGCGGCTGCCTGTGGGCGCAGTGAAGGCGATGGTGAGCCTTCCTCCCCGCTGGTGCCCAGCTGCTTCCTCCTCCCACCCGCCTGCGCTTTCCAGCCCTCCTCTCTCCACAGGTGCCCACCATGGCCGTGCAGCCGCATCCACCTCCTCCCTGAGCCAGCGCTGAGCAGCTGCGGCCGGAGACTGCTGCCTGCCCCCGCCCCAGCCACAGCCGGGGTGCACAGGGTTGGGGTCCCCATGACCCCACCCCCCAAGCCAGCCCTGCTCTATGAAACCGCCAGCTGCAATTAAGTGGGAGACTTTAATCACCAGGGCTGAGCCACAGATGGACCCTGCTCAGTGCCGGTGCTGGGAGGCATGGGGTGCCAGGGGACATGGGGGGACAGGGGGCACAAGGGGCACGGGGGGCACAGCTCTGCTTTGTTTCCCCAAGCAGGGCTGTGCCCAGCTTGGAGAGCAGGGATTGAACTGGGGTGCTCCCCCCGGCTGGAGGGCTCTGCTCCCCGCACAGGGCTGGAGAGGGACAGGGCGTGTCCCTGTGGGCCTGGGGACAAGGGACACATCATGTGGGTGAGACGGGTGTGACCCACACAAAGGGATATTGGTTTTGGGGTGCTGGGTGTGTGTCAGAGCCTGTGTGCACTGAATATTAGGGGGTCCGTGTGTGCGTGCATGTGTGCACGGAGCTGCGGGCAGAGTTGCACCAAGCACATGTGTGTGCATACCCAGGAGAGGCAGCATGCATTTGTGCACCAAACACACGGGCATGCACATGTATGCACGCCAAGCGCAGGGGTGATACGAGGCAGGGAGCAGCCGGGCGGGCAGAGTGGGCAGCCCTGAGGGGGGTGGCACAGCCTCAAGCCCCAGAGCTGCCGGGGAGGGTGACGGAGACACTGCTGTGCCCATGGGGTGCCCCATGTCTCCCTGACCCCACACGCCTGCGTGTCCCTGGGTGCCCAGCCCCAGGCATGGAGCGGCCGGAGCCGGTGGCTGCAATCTGGCACCCAGGCTCTGCTCGCTGCGGTCCGGTGCCAACCGCCTCCTCGCCTCGGCTGGTGGTGCCACGCAATCTGCTCTCCTTGCCTGGCCCCCCCGGCACCGGGCATCATGCCATGCTGCCCAGCCAAGCCTGGCCGGGGGCCTGGCCCTTCCCGGAGGGATTTTTCCCTCGGATGGGGAAGGGGGGTGGCCGCATCCAGCCCGGAGGGATTTTTCCCTCGGATGGGGAAGGGGGGTGGCCGCATCCAGCCCTCCTCCGCTGCACGCGCCTGTGCCCAGGGAATTTGCAGTCCTTGTAGAAGCTGGGGTGAAGCAGGATCCAGGATAGTGGCATGTCCCCAAGCCCCCTGGCATGTCCCCAAACCTGCTGCCATTGGCCCTGTGCCCCCCTCCCCACCTGCCCGGGGCCTCCCCCCACCAAGCCTGAGCCCCCCCCGGATGGGGCCGGGGCCAGTCCCCTGTTCCCACCAGTGCTGGGGAATTCATTAGCCGGCCACAGCTGGGCCCTGCTGGGGAGGCCAAGCTGCGAGGAAAATTAACCTCTTCCTCCCCAGCCTCCAAGCATAGGACCCCCCCACCAGCACGTCTGCCCTAACACAGAGAAGGGGGCCAGCAGCTCCCCCTGGCCAGACACTGCCCAGGGGCCCCCCTGCTAATTAAACCCAGGCTGCTGCCTTGTTAATGCACATGTCCAGGAGGCAGCAGGAGGGGACGGTCCCCACCGTGAGGATGCTGGATGCAGGAGGGGGCTGCGGGGTGCCCTCCATGGGGGCAGCTTTGCAAACCCAAATGCTTCCCAACCCCACTTTTCCAGGCTTTTATTTGCAAGGGGAGCTGGTGCTGCAGCTCCAAATGGCCTGGGGGGCAAGGGGGGCGTTTCTCTGCTCTCCCTCGCGGAGGTGGGCCCCCCAGTCTGGGGTATGTCTGTGCCCTGGGGCTGGAGGGGGTGAGGATATGGCCCTCAGGCCTGGCTTGACTCAACCTGGTAGCCCCCCCGGGTGGGGATGGGTGCCCCCACCCCAAATCTTGCAATCCAGGGTTGTCCCCCCACCTCTACCAACACCCTCACTCCCCCTGGCCGGTGCCTATCCCCCACTGGGACAGCCCCCCTCCCGGGGGGTGGGGGGCAGAAGGACCCACGCTCCCCTCCGCTTGTTAGAAAGGTTTTATTTCTCTCTATTTACAGACTGGATTTAAAAAAAAAAGTCCCTCCCCCTCCCTCACTGCCCCTGGATGGCACTGCCCACCCACAGCCCTGCCCCGTGGGTGCAGGGGAGCCCTTGGCCATGGGGAGTGGGGCTGGGGCCAAGCCTGGGACTGCAGGCACCACCCCCGGGAAAGGGGGTGCCCCGGGGGTCAGCCGGCCCCCAGGAGCCAGCCGGCAGGGTGGCATCCCCCCCTCCAGTGCCATCACATTCACATTGCGCCCCGAGTCCTCCCACTAGCCCCCGTTAATGCTTGCCGCAGGGGTTTGAGCCAAGCTGCAGCTGGGACCCCCCAAGCACCGCAGGGGTCGCCCTGTCCTGTACCCCCTCCCCGCCCCGCATGGAGCAGAGGGAAACAGTCCCTTGGGCAGAGCTGCCCCCTGATCCCTCCAGGACCCCTTGTTCCCCCCCAGTGCAAGCAGAGGTTTATGGCTTTCAGGATTTGGCTCTACTGAAAGGAGAGGAGATAAAAGGGGGGGCAAGGAGATCCCCCAAATACAGGGATCCCTGTGGGGTGAGGTGGCTGCTGGGGTGAGGGGTATAAAATCTTATAAATTAAAGATGATATAAGGGGGGGGTTGAGGTGACCTTCCCCAGGTCAGCGCCAGGATTTGGGGGGCTGAACCCCCCCAGGTGCACAGAGCTGAGCTGGGGGAGAGGAGATTGGGGTTGGCATGGGGAAGCCCCCCCTGCCCCAAGGCCTCTGCTGCTACAGGGCTAGGGGTGTCTGGGGGGGCACGGTAGGGTATCCCCCCCTCCCCCCCCCCAGCCAAAGCACTTCTCAGGTTCAAAGCTGGGTGTGAAGGCAACGAGAGAGGGGCCAGGGGGGAAGGGGGGCTGGGTGGGGGGCACAGCTTTGCCCCTTCTCTGAGTCCCAAATTCTTGTGCAAAGCCCCCTTGTCCTCCCCAGGGCACCCCGAGCGCCCCCCCGTCAGGCGTTTTGGGGGAGGGGGCACAGGCAAAGGGAGCAACAACTGCCCTGCATAAAGGGGGAGATTTGCCCAAAAGCCACCCCAGAGCCCAGCTAGGGGGTGCCAGAGCCGGGTCACTGGTTGTCCCCCGGCTGGTACTGGGGCTCAGTGGCGGTGAAGTAGTCCTCGAGGAAGGACTGGAGGTACTCGAAGGTGGGGCGCTCCTCAGGCTCCCGCTTCCAGCACTGCATCATCACATCGTGCAGGGAGGGGGGGCAGTTGCCCGGGCACTGCATGCGGTAGCCCCTCTCCACCTGCTCCAGCACCTCCCGGTTGTTCATCCCTGCATGACAAGGACACCCCACTCAGCAACCAGCATCCCCATGGGACAAGCCAGTGGGGAAACTGAAGCACGCTGAGGGATGCAGGGGCATTGCCCCGTGGTTTGGATAGGGAGCCCAGCTTAGCGCTCATCTCTATGATGGGCAAACTGAGGCACGGGGCAAGCCTTTGCCCTGCCTGCACCCTGCTGCCCAGCTTGCCCCAAGGGTGCCTGCTGCCCTGGTGGGGCCGTACCTGGGTAGGGCACCCGGCCTTTGGTCACCAGCTCAGTCAGGAGGATGCCAAAGGACCAGACGTCCGACTTGATGGTGAACTTCCCAAAGAGTGCAGCCTCCGGGGCCGTCCACTTGATGGGGAACTTGGCACCTGCAAGGGGAAGCAGGTGAGCCATGTCTGGAGCACCCCGCTGCACCTGCACCCGGGGTACCCCACACCTGGGTCACCCAGCACTGGGGACACCCTGCACCTGGGGCATCTTGCACCAGAGGCACCCTGCACCCAGAGCGCCCTGTACCGAGGGCGTCCTGCACCCAGGGTACCCTGCACTGGGAGGATCCTGCACCAGGACACCATGCACCAGGGGCACCCAGCACCCAAGGCACCCTCTGCCTGGGGTACCCCACACATGGGGCACCCAGCAACTGAGGCACCTTGTACTGGGGGCACCCTGCACCTGGAGTCCCCATCATCTGGGACACCCATCATCCAGGGTATCCATCACCCAGGATACACATTCCCTGGGGTACCCACCACCTGGGGCACCCATCGCCCAGGAGACTCAGCATAGGGGGTGACCAGCTCCAGGCCCAGGGTGGGATGCATCACAGAGTGGACAGGGCAGTGGCCCCCACAGCAGTGGGGCACCAAGCTGACTCACCCTGGCGTGCCGTGTACTCGTCATCCTCGATGAGGCGAGCAAGGCCGAAGTCAGCAATCTTGCACACCAGGTTGTCTCCCACCAGGATGTTGGCAGCACGGAGGTCCCGGTGGATGTAGTTCATCCGCTCAATGTAGGCCATGCCCGCTGCGATCTGGGGGAAGCAGTGAGGACCCCCCAGGTGCACTCCCTTGGGGGCACCCCCCCACCCCGTGCCAGCCTCCCCTGTACCTGGGCAGCCATGTCCACCAGCTGGGGCAGCTTCAGGTAGCGACCGTCCCCATCCTTTAGGAAATCCAGCAAGCTGCCTGCAGGCAGAGGGTGCCAGTCAAAGCACCCAAGAACCAGCCGTGCCCACCCAAGGGTGCCCTCCCCTGCATGCCCCCAGCCCTGGGACCAGCTCCCTGCCAGCCCCGGCTGTGCTCAGGCAAGGTGAGGCTTGCAGAAGAGCTGGGAGAAGAAAAGCTGGGGGGTCCCGGGGCATTGCCCCCTGCTCACCCTGGCTCATGAACTCGGTGACAATGTAGATGGGCTCCTCAGACACCACAGCGTAGAGCTGCACCAGCTTGTCATGCCGCAGCCGCTTCATGATCTGAGCCTCCTCCAGGAAGGCTTCGGGTGACATGGTGCCTGGCTTCAGTGTCTTCACCGCCACCTTCGTGGTGCCGTTCCATGTGCCTGGGCCAGGGAGACAGGGTTACTGTGAGCCAAGGGGACAGCCAGCCTTGGCAGGGCCGGGATAGAGAGGTGTGTGGATGGATGGGTGCATGGATGGAGGGGTGGATGGGTGCATACTTGCATGGATGGGGGATGGACGGATGCATGGATGCATGGAGGGATGCATGGATGGAGGAGCAAGGAAATCAGGGCAGGGCAAGGAAGGAGCATGATACCACCATACCCCACCCAGGACAAGGAGTCCCCCTCGCCCCGTGGCATGCAGACAAGGCACCCATGAGCTCATCTCCTAATGTCAACCTTACCCCATTCCCCATCCCTCCACGGGGGAGCCTGTGCCAAGCTGCCATCTCCCCCCCAGCAGTGGGTACCACCTGGCACCCCAACGATGCTGCCTGCCAGGGCAGGACCGGACTGCTCCTGCCCGCCGCACCCCCCGCCCCGGCCGGCTGGGCCAGCCTTACCCATCCACACGTCTCCGAAACATCCCATGCCGAGTTTCTTGTTGAGGCTGATGGATTCCCGCACTATCTCCCAGGCGTCCTTAGCTAATCCCAGGGTCTGGGGCTTCATAGCAGGGCACGCGCGGATTAGCAGATGGCACAACCCATCGTTAGTCTCTGCAGGGGTGGGGGCAAGGAGGGGAGGAGGGAGGGAGGGGGTGCGATGGGATGAATGCAGCATGCATGCCGAGCGGAGGGAGCACAGGGCATCAGAGGAAGAGGATGACGAAGAGGGGACCCCCTGGCCTGGTCTTGTCTCCTGCTTGTGGTCCCATCTGAAATGGGGGGGCTGCTTGCCCATGCAGGGACGTCATGGGGCATCCTGGGGTTGTGATCCCAGAGCAGGACAGGGGACATTTCCCCGTGCCTGCAAACTGGTGTCACTCAGCCTGTCCTGGCAGGCAGAAGCCCTTCCCTGGAGGGGTGCCAGGCCTGAGGGTGCCCCTGCCACCCCCCCCGCTGCTCGCCCCGGCTTGCCCGCCAGGCCCTACCCATCCACACTTCCCCGAACTGCCCGTTGCCCAACTTCTTGAGGAGCTGGAGGGATTCGCGGGGGATCTCCCACACGTCTTTGGTTTTGACTGAGAGGTCGGCCAGCTTGGGCGTTCCCTTGTGGCACGGCACGGCCAGGCGGCAGCACAGCCCGGCTGCCCGCTCTGCAGCACCAGGGCAGGGGGGACAGGCGTCAGCCTGGGCACGGACCCCCATCAGCCCTTGGCCCCCACCCACAACCCTGGGCATTGCCCGGGCTCCTGCATGGTCCAGCCACTCCCCACTTATGCACACACATAAATGGCGTGCACCCCTCTCTGCCTCCCTCAGGGATGGCCCCGCACCCTCTCGGGCTGGGCCGGATCCCCAGTCCCCCCGGCTGTGCCTGGGGAGCAGCTGATGCCCACCCAGACCCAGGGGCTATTTACCTTCTCTGGAGAGGCCAGGTGCTCTCTGCACCGAGGACCTGGAAGAGGGAGGACCCTCAGGGGGTCCCCCAATGCCGCCACCAGAACAGGTCCCTCCTTCTCCAGTTAAGCCCAGTTAACCCAGTGGCTGCCTCTTGCCAAAGGGTCTCCTGAGCTTTCCCCACCCCTCCCCATTGCCCCACTGTGCCACCCCCCTGTGCCCCCCACCCCACCCTACCTATATAGTGCTGGACCAGCTGCTGGACGGTGTCGAACTGGGCGCGGGTGGTGATGTAGTAGCCCCCATTGTCCAGTTTCCGAATCTTATAGTGCTTCACGTGGTCTCCCTTGGCCTCATCCCAGTCCCGGATGGAGAGGGAGTAGGCACCTACATGGGGACATGGGTCAGGGTGGGTCAGGGAGGGATATGGGGCACAGCCCCCAGTGTCCCTGTCCCTGTACCTTTCGTCGTCTCGCTCTCCCGGATGAGGAAGGTGCCCCTGCAGTTGCCGTGGCACAGGAGCTGCCGCTCCGCATCCTTGCGCCCGATCTTCCCGAAGTACCACCTGCCACAGGGCTGGGCTCAGCGCTGGGAGGGCACCTCCGAGGGGCACCCATGGGGACCCCACGCCACAGCCACTCGCCGGCACCGTGGCACTGCCAGGGCTCACCAGGGGTGCCAAGACATCTGGGCTTGAGGCAGATGGGGTCGGGGTCCCCTTCCATCCCTGTCCCCCCGTACTCACTCTTCTGCCTGGATAGAATCCATGGGGGCCACGTAGTTGCTGGGGATGTAGCCTGTGGCACCCGAGACCAGTGACCTGGCCTCCCACCAGTCACCCTCCCTGGGGAAAGACGAACCGAGAGTGAAGAGGAGGGACAGACGGATGGACCTGGTTACCCTGCACCTTCCTTCCCTGCACACAGCACCCCCAGACCCTGGTCTGCCCTGCCACAGAGGGCACCCATACTGGGGTGACTGCCAAGACCACCCAACTCATGACACACATGGCCCTGGTTCTCTTGGTATCCAGCAATGGAGCCAAGCCAGAGCCTGGGTCCTGCGGGGGGTACCTGCGGCATGGTGGCACCTCCCTGGGGTGGCATGGCGGGGCTAGGGGTAGCAGGGGGCCCGGGGAGGCTCACGTGTTGTTGATGATGTGGAATTTCTCCCCCTTCTGGAAGGTCAGGTCATCCTCCGTCCTGGCCTCATAGTCATACAGGGCGATGAAGAGCGGCCCCCCCCCGCCTGCGGCATGCGGAGGGGATCATGGTGAGCCCTCGGGTCCACCCCAGGTGCTGCAGAGGTGCAGCCAGACCCCCCCTAGCACCGAGCCCCCCGCTGACCTGTGATGCCCCCGCTCCTCATTTGCAGCGTGTTGGAGGTGAAGACCCCCGGCCCTGCGAAGGATGGAGTCGAGGGCACCGCTGTGCCATGGAAGTTGTTGAAGTCAGGGATGCGGGTGAAGATGGTGCCCGGCTGCGTGGGGTCGGGGTCATACTGGGAGGCGGGGGGCGGGGGGGGGCCCACCTCGCCCCCCCCCTGCCCCTTGCCGGACCCCTTGTCTTTGCCGTGCA